GTCACCTCCAGCGCCAGCCTGGGGTCTGTGAGGAAGAGGGTGAGCAGGTTGGGCTTGACTCCCAGCTGGCAGGCGAGCTCATCCATGTAGGGGATGTAATCCACCTGGATGGTGTGTCGCTGGCTCTTCACGTACCTGTGGGCAGGGAGGGCAGGTGGGTTTGGCACGTGGGCACAGGGGTGAGGGTGGCAGGGGCGATGCCCACACAGGGTCCTTACCGCTTGGCCATTTGGTCCTTGGTTTGTGTGATCTCAGCAAGCATGTCAGCAGGTGGTGGTAGGTCCTGCAGCCCTGAGGAAGAGGAGGCTGTCGTTGGAACGATGTCTGTGCTCCCACCATGGTCTGGCTGGCTCTGCAGCCCAGCCTGGCCTCTGCTTGTACAGGGAAGCCCTTAGGGCTTTGGTGGGGATGTGCCACCATGTTAGGAGCAAAGTGAGAGGCATGAACAAAGAAAGAAATGGCAGGAACGGAAAGGGAAAAGATGGTTTGTCAGCAATGGGATCTGTTAGTGGCCCCCACATGATGCCAAATGCAATGCTGATTTTTGTCCTCATGAAGAAGCAAAAGGAGGATAAAGAGGTGAGTGTGGGAAGGTAGCGTGTGAGAGGATGCCACCAGCTGAACAACTCAGCTTTGGTGTGGCTGGGGGAGCCCAGCTGCATCCCCCAAAATGACTGACTTACCCTTGAAGACACGAGTGGCCCAGCGACACTGGAGCTCAGAGATGGGCATGATGGCACCCAGGGGCTGGATGAGGCCAATAAAAGCCAGCGTCGGCTTCTCCAGGTCAGGGGGAAACATGAATTTGTAAAGGGAGATCTGGTTCTCCACCACTTTCACAAAGCTCTCAAGGAAGGGGAAGGAGAAGGTGTATCCTGTGGCAAAGACCACAGCGTCGACGTCTTCCCTGGTGCCATCCTCAAAGATGGCACATGTCTCCGTGAACTCCGGAATGTTTGGCTTCACCTGCACCCTGCCCGAAATGATGCAGTTGGGCAGGCTGTCATTGACAGTTGGGTGCTGGTCAAAGATCCTGGAAGGCACAGACACACCTCTTATGGTCCCAGCAGTGGGAGTGGGATGGGTGGCAGGATGGGCATCGCCAGAGCAGGTACCTGCGGTGCTGCCAAGGCACTCACCGGTGCTGGGGCTTCAGGCTGTAGAGTGCGTGGTCAAAGCGGGTGTTCAGCTTCCTCTCCATGTAAAAACTGGTGACATTTGGAGGCAGCAGTGTCTGGAGAAGTTGTGTGAAGCGGCTGATGTAGGTGAAGTCAAAAGGGTACCCACCATCTGCCACCCGGTGCAGCACCCAAGTGCCACGCTTGGTGCTGAGGAAAACCTGGGAGAAAGAAAGAAGAGGAGAGGTGGCAGCATCCTCAGGACTGGGCTGTGCCCCCACCATGCTCCCAGCACAGCTGCTGGGACCACAATAGCCTCCTCCATCAAGAGGGAACAGGGTGCTGGAGGGGTCCCAGTTTGTGGCCGGGTGCTGGAGGGGGGGAGCCCACAGGGGATCGTGGGGGGATGATCAGTGCCCTCTGGGGTCTGAATAATAAGCACCCAATCCCTGTCAACTCTTCCAGCTCACCTGCTTGGCTGTGTGGCTCAGCTCCACTGCGATGTCGATGCCTGAATTCCCAGTGCCAACCACCACCACCCGCTTTCCCAGAAAGGACTGAGGGCTTTTGTAGTCCCGACTGTGCAGGTACCAGCCCTCAAACTTTTCCAGCCCTGGAAGAGAGAGGGAAGCCATGCTGAGCTGGGATGTGGGGCAGGAGGGTGGCTGCCTCCAGGTCAGATTGGTGGTGTGTTTTGGGAACAGTCTGGAAGCAATATGATCAACAGGAGTGATGCAGCCCTGAGGTAGTGCCCAGAGAGGTGGTAGCATCACCAGCTTGGGAGATGCTCAGTGTGGCCCTGAGCATCCTGCTCTGGCTTTGGGTCTGGCCCGGCTTGCACAGGGCTTGTACTGAAGAATTCCATGCTCCCATCCCCAAATCCCCCTGCGGTTCCGGTCTGTGGCCATGAGGAGCAGCTGGAGTCGGTGCCAGCTGCTCACAAGACCCTGGTGGCAGTCTGCACCATCCTGTTCCCCAGCTAAAGAGGGTCCACACAGCTGAAAGTCCTCCAGGCATTTTTGCCTGGCACCAAGAGGAGAAGGTCACCACCAGCACCAAGCTCCTAAGCCTTGGCGAGGAGCTGTGAGCTTGGCCAGCAGTGTGGGGAGCCAGTCTCCAGTGGGAGAGGCACTCTGGCAGCAATGACATCTGCAGACAGGATGCTTTGGATGCTCATGGAAACCCACCTGGTGTGTTAAACTGCATTTTTGGCAGCACCCAGGGTAGGGTGGGGGCTGAGAGGGAGAGGAGGGTAGTTCCAGGGAGGTCAGGGACCAGGTGAGCAGCAGTGGGCCGTACCTGGGAAGGTGCTCAGCGGGAGATGTGCCTCGGTGTGGTGCCCGGTGCACACCAGCACGGCGTCGAACACGGCTGTATCCTGCTTCCCCTCGCTCTCCGTCACCACCTCCCACTGGCCACTGGTGGCGAAGTCAGGGCGCTTGGACACGCGGCACACACTGGTCTGGGCACGGGGGGAGCAGGTGTCAGGCCCCTGTGCCCCCAGCCCTGCTGCCACCACCCCTCGGCCCCGTCTCTCACCCTGAAGCGGATGTGGCGGAGCAGGTCGAAGCGCCGCGCGTACATACGGAAGTACTCCATGATCTTGGAGTTGTGCATGTAGTTGGGGAAGTCCTCGGGGATGGGGAAGTCGCTGAAGCACATCATCTCCTTGGAGGTGTTGATGATGACGGAGCGGTAGATGCTGGCACGGCCATCCTCGGGGTGCTCCTGTGGGAGCAGGGCATGGCTCAGTGCTGGCCAGGACCCACAGAGCCACCTGCCTGCCCGGCCTGGCACCTCATCATGCCTGTGGGTGCAAGGTTAAGCCACAGGTGGTCATAGCACCCATCCCTGTGACCATCACTCTCCCAAAGGTGAGACCGCCCACTCCAAAAAACAGGGAAGAGGAGACTCTGAGTTGGTGGAGGCCAGGCAGTGCTGACAGCAGGTCATGGGGTTCTTGTGCCTCAGTTTTCCTGCTCCCACTCCTTGCCCCTAGGAGGTGTTGTGTTTCCAAAGCTGCCTGTGGTGTCATTGCCCTGGCTGCCACATCAGGTCTCTCTGGTTGCTGAGCTACCTCCAGTGCTTCGTGTTGAGCGACTGTTCCTGCTTTCTGGATCTGTGCTTCAGCAGACAGATGCTGCTGCCTTGGCTCTGCTCCACCAGCCCCATTCCTGACCCACAGTGGGCAGAGCCAGTGGACTGTAACCAAGCCACCTCAGCACCCACACTAGTATGTATGGTATGGTGTGTGTGTCCCTGGGCTCTCCCACCTGTGTACAGGGCATGGTGGGAACGCTGATCTCGTGGGTGGGTATGTGGGGGAAAAGTCAGTAGCCTCATTAGGTCGTGGCAGAAATGAGCTCCAGGGCTTCACCCGAGGCAGGGAGAGCCAAGGCACGGAGGAGGCAGCGCTTGGTGCCTCTGCACTGGCAACTGGCACAGCAGCAGGGAGATGAGCAACTGTGATTCCAGGGAAGGGCTGGGCAGGACAGAAACTGGGGCAGACAGCAGAGTCAGGTGGGACCCGGATGGGTAGGAAAGGGCTAGAGAGTAAAAGCAAAACAGCAGGGGAAGGGATGAGTGAGATGGGGAATGGAAGAATGGAAAGGAGGAAGGGAGGAATGGGAAGGGGGAAGGTTGAAGTGGGGCAATGAGCCCTGGGGTGAGATCCTTGGGGTCCGTCTTGCTGCTGGTGGGAAGGAGACGGGTCCCATGTAGCCAGCACACCAGCTGGCACCACGGGGACATTCTGCTGCCACAACAGTATTACTTTCCTGTTTTTTTCCTTGGAAACCTGCCTGCTGCATGTGTGCAAAGCAGGGGAATGGTGCTTCCTCAGCTGCCAACAACCGATCCCAATCCCATCTGTGCTGCTGCCGCGGGGCAGGCTGGCACACACGGGGCTTACCTCGAAGCGCCAGAGCCCCCCGATGTCCTTGCTCCTCTCAAAGCAGGTGGGCACCAGCCCCTCATCCAGGCAGCATTTCAGGGCGCACAGGCCAGAGGCACCGGCGCCGATGATGGCGACTCTCCGGGCGGGCATGTCCTGCGGTGTGGTGGTGACAAGGATGCTGGGCAAGTCTTGGCCAGGAGCACACCGCACTGAGAGGAGTTGCAGAACCTGGCTGGTCACACCAGGAAGGAGGTACTGTGCCACTTGTTTGGGAGTGACTGTGCTTCCTGTGGGTGTCAGATCAGCTGGGCTGTCACAAGATGTGTTTCTTCCAGACATGATTTACAAGTTCCCCCCACTGCCCTGCCACACCTTATGCCTGTGCCTGCCCTTTACAAGAGGCTTACAAGGTTCTGTAAGCACTTAAAGATGCCGACACTGCCCCAGGACTTCTTGGGCAGGGCAGAGATGTGGCTGTGCTCCAGAGTTTGGCAGGTTGTGGTGTGGAAAACAAACCTAGGGTGATGTTCAGGGCACTGGTGGCTGGCAGGCGTGCTGCCCTGGCATGTGGGAGGCCAGGACCTTGATCACCATTCTCCATTCCCAACCCACCCAGTCATCTTCCGGAGGAGCTGTGTGCAGGTGAGGAGGGTGGCACTGACCCCTGTCGCTGTGACCACCAGGGCCTGCTCTGGCACACCCTGAGTGACGCTGTCTTGCTCTGGATACAGGTGTGTGTATGTGAGTGCATCAGCCTGTGCTGCTGTGGCCACGGGCATGAGGTTGACGTCAAACCTGTGAGTGTGCCCTGGGCACACAGAGGGTAGTAACAGGGTCAGTAACGGGACGGACACTTGTCTCTGTTTAATGCGTTTATCTGTTAGGCAGTGTGCTGTGCCTGTGAGTGTGCCAGCAGTGGCACAGCTGGGTTACAGGGGACAGAAAAGCCTGGATTGCTGGCTGAGGACTGGATTTTTCCCTGTGCATGAGCATGTTTCCTCCTCTGTCCCCAGCAGCAGCTCCCCAGGGGGAGGAGCAGAGCAGGTACCCAGGCGTTACTTTGGCAGCCAGGGAGGCTCTGCGCATCCTGAGCTCATGGTGTGCTCATAGCCAGGCAGGAGGAGAGTTTCTGCCAGGACAGGGGCACACAGGCTGCTGCAGAGCCGGGGTGGCC